GAGATCAAAGTTCAAAAAATTTATCAAAAATAATTTTTTTTTTAAATTTCCTACCACATTAAATTTTTTAAACTTTGATCTCGGATATCTTTGAAATGGTTAATGTAATCACTTACACATATCAGATCTTTTCTGTAGATCATTCAATTTTCTACAAAAATATGTATAAAAATTTGATTAAAAAATTGATCAATAGTGAGATATATGATCTTTTTTATAAGAGACTAACAAAAAATGTAAAACTGTGATGAGCATAAGCTTCCTATCGATATTAAGAGCTCAAATTTGGTGAGCATTTTCTAGAGGTGCCTCAGAACCAACTTTTCAATGTAAGAAGTTAAAAAAAAAATAATCGATTTTTTTGATCCACCCTAATATCCATCCATAACACTTTGATATAATAAATTTTAATTATTTATTCTTTAAAAATTATATTTAATTATTAAAATTAATCAGAAAATTTATTTAAAAAAATTACTATTTTCTTATTGGCAAGTAAATTAATAAATTCGCTAATTCTTTTATGAGTACTGATATAAAATTAAATATTACGGGAGTTTAATTCTTTCAATTTTAAAAAATCTTATCAGTATTTATCAAGTGTTGGAAATGTTTGAGTTCAAACTGATTAATTTTATTCAGTAGCTCAGTTGCTTGCTGTCTGTAAACGTTGATTTTGTTTTTTTTGAGATCAGTCTATTTAAATAAAAAATGCCGGTAAAAATTTTTCTCATTAATATTAGTTATAAAACATAGTCAATCTAATTGATTTATAATATATTAATTATAGCGTTTATCGTATACTTTCCGAGGTTTCATCGCTCCGGTCTTCACGCCTTTTAATTCAAGGTACAGCACAATTATTATAAATTTTCAATATAATTATCTTCTTGTATTTCACTGACAGAAAGTCAACTCTAAATTTATCAATAATACCGAAATATGCTCAATATTTGGCTGATAACGGAGTCAATGGCGTTTTAGGTATAGTAATATTTAGATATTAACTTGATATTCAACGAAATTTACTTAAATTATCATAATAATTATTTTTAATGATACTGCTATCGCTATCACACAGTCAATGGTACAACTGGGGAAGGCGTATCGATGACAGTATCTGAACGTAAACAAGTTGCAGAAGCATGGGCTAATGCTGTTAAAACAACCAAGCAACATTTGATGATTCAAGTTGGTGGAACGACTTTTCCTGATGTTATTGAACTTGTATGTAGAATTACACCTGCAATAGTTAATTTCGTTGGGGCGTAATCGTTCTTTAATTACTTGGAAAATTTTAGGCTAAACATGCAGAAGAATTAAAAGCTGATTCTATTCTGTGCTTACCAGAGCTGTATTTTAAACCTACCAACTGTAAAGAATTAACAGAATACTTAAAAAATGTCGGAAATGCAGCACCTAATACCCCCCTCCTGTACTATCACATTCCAATGCTCACAAATGTCAACAGTAAGCTTTAACTTAACGTTATGTGAAAATTTATACACTGAGAAAGAAAAATACTTTTACTCAATTAACAATTTCTTTTGGTTCAAGAAATTCGATGACGATCAAATATTCTATTATTATTAATTATTAATTTCTGCAGAGAAGAGCATCAATATTTATCTTTGAATAATAGATAAACAAGAGAATAGCTTTATTTAAATTAAGTAAAAATTATTTCAATCAATTTAACAAGTTCTTAAGCTAAGAATATATATTCTTGAAAATTTTCAAGAACATGAATTCTTGTATCAAGAAAATTTTCTTAATAAAAGTATTTTTTTTCTCAGTGTATGATGCTGAATTTAACGGACGTCTAATAATTTTTTAGATTTTCACAACAAATAAAATATAATGAAAACAATTGAGCAACAAAATTCCACATGTGGAAATTAGCAAAAATTGTAATTGTGAATTTTTAATAATATTTTTTTATAACAATTGAGTTGTTAGAAAAATTCCAAGAATTGTCAGATATCTGCTAATTTTACTATCATGGAAATTTTTATTTT